CTACCATCTTTCCTCTCTCAATTCAACCGAACATCTACCCAGTTTTTACAGTGTCCCACACAACTGCAGCAGGAAGTACATACTCAGGGAACATGAACCCTCTATTAGCTGGGTTATTTTTCTGCGTTCCAGATTTTAAGAGCATGCCTCCAGGAAAGGCAAGCTTCTGTCTGAGGATTCAGTCTCTTTCCATTTGTTTTGCAACAGTGCGGGGAACAGCTTGAGGACAGCCCACAGGCATTCATTCCTTCCAGGCTCCTCTCCTTTACATCCCTGACCCAGAGTGAATGCCGTCATGCTCCAAATCCCACTCCTGGGATCCAGCCAGACTTCAGCATCACTTTGGACTTTGCTAAAACTAATGTTTCTCACTTGTTTGAATTTTTACAAGTTTCACCACATCTTACGCGTGTGTGTGCCACGTTAAGGTCAGAGGATAACCTGCAGGAGTCAGCTCTCTCCTTCGACCATGTGGGTCCCGGGGACCGAACTCAGGTTGTGAGGCTTAGCAGCAAGCACCCTTACCTGCTCAGCCATCCCAACACCTCCCCCCTCCTTTTTTTTAAATTAGATTTTGTTTTGTGTGAGTGGACAGATTGCTCGGGTAATGGCTCATGTTTGGAGATGAGAGGATAACTTTGGGGAGTCGGCTCTCTCCTTCCACCACCCCGTGGGGCCCGGGAATCAAATTCAAGTGTCAGGCCAGCCCCTCTTACTCAGTAAGTAACTGAGTTACTGGCCCCTTGTTTTGTTTAGAGACAGGGTTTCCTGTGTCCTAGGCTGGTCTTAAACTTGATAAGGATAGCCTTAAACCCCTGACCCTCCTGTCTCCACCTTCTGAGTACTGGGATTATTGGGACGCCATACCACGTTTATGAGATGCAGAGCTTAGTGTGTGCTAGGCAAGGACTCTTTAAAAAATGAGCTGTGTCCCAAGCCCCAGAAACTAACATTTAAAAAATATGCAGAAGGATTGTGGGTGTAGTCAGTGGTAGGGCTCTTGCCTAGTCCTTGCCTACCTTGCCTAACCCTTGACTAGTCTTTGCCTAACTCATGCCTAGTCCTTGCCTAGTCCTTGCCTAGCCCTTGCCTAGTCCTTTTTTGCCTAGTCCTTTCTTGCCTAGTCTTTTCTTGCCTAGTCCTTTCTTGCCTAGTCCTTGCCCGGCCCCTGCCTAGTCCTTACCTAGTCCTTTCTTGCCTAGCCCTTACCTAGTCCTTTCTTGCCTAGCCCTTACCTAGTCCTTTCTTGCCTAGCCCTTGCCCAGCACACACACGACCCTGAGTTCCATCCTCAGCACAGCAGAGAAAGTAAGTGATCCTGAAGCAGTGCAAGGTAGAAAGAACTTTTTTTTTTTTTTAGTATATCCATTAGATAGTCACGAATTTTCACTGGATGAAGATTCTCCTTCTTCCCTGTAGTGAAGGAGAATTTTGAGTCTTCTAACCACACACTGGATGGGAGGCTCTGGGTTCATTCTGCCAGCTCTGGACCTTGGCCCAAGCTCTGTCAGAGACAATGAGTACTTGCTTCTTGGGATACTTCAAAAAGGCGCCTTCTCCCAAGTCACAGAAGAGCCTCTGTGCCCGCCCCCCCTATCAGTTTACTCCTGGACACTGTCTTCCAGTGTGATATTCATTCATGTCTAGGCCTTGAGAGACAAGAGCCGCTGACTGGCTCAGCTAGGAAAGTGCTTGCCTAGCATGCAGTGTCCGAGTCCAGCCTGGGCACATGAGACCCTGTTTAAAAACAAGTGAAGAGGTGACTGGCATTCCTAAATGAGCCCCATGCCCATGAAGATACCAAGCAGGTTCTACTAACAAGGTCCACTTGCTACTACACGGATTCTCTTCATTTCCCCCTGGTTGAGCCCAGGGAGTCAGGAGGAAGTCAGGTGGCCAGAAAGAAGGTTCTCACCCTCACCCACACTCATTGAGCTTAGCCCACCGGGCACAAGCCTGCCCTGATGCCCAGGGGCTTCATCCTCAGAGGACAGCCCTATCCAGATCCCTTTCTTGTATCCAGGGCCTCTGGAGCCTCTGGGTTCCTTCAACAAATCAATGTTAGATGAATGGCCTTAGATGCCAGGTACTTGATTTAAAGCAGGAGAGGGGGAGGGGTGGGAGGAGCCGTGCTGCCTTGGGGGTGGAGGGGACAGGGGCTATGGAGGGAAACAGGTCACAGCTGCTGCCTTCACACTACTCATGGCCAGTGGCAGAAGGGACATGAACAGCATCAGTTTGTGCCAGTGACTCTGGTTGGATGATGGGAACCATAAAGACAGGAAGACACTCCCTCTCCATCCTCAAACACAGCGATAGGTCTTCCTTAAATATTCTTTGATGTGGCTGACAAAACTTTGAAAAGGCTGCTCGCAGGAAGGAAATGGGACTTATGAACAAAATCATAGCACAAGCTCAGACCAGAGAGCTAAGGGAGCCTTAAAGAGATAGCCTCAGTACAACCGTCAGGGGTCCGTGACCATGCATGCATCCATCAGACTGAACATCCTGAATTCATTTTCTTCAGCTGGTCTTTTGACCTTGGGCAAGGCGCATTCCCTCTGCAGTTCCATAGATGAGGGCGGAGGACTGGATTGGTGGTTTTTATTAGCAATAAACCCATATATTGTCCAAATTTTGTTTTATCTAGAACCCCAATATATAAAATAAGGGGGAACTGTTCATATGGAAGCAGGGCAGCAAAGCACAAAGCCCTCTGGGAACCCAGTGGGAGAATTGCAGAGCTGGAGCCCCCTCCAGAGTGCTTACAGCCTCTTGCAGTGTGCCCTGAGGACAGGAGGGAATCACCATTGATGTAGTGCTCGCCATGGTGCCTGGGAATCCACAGGTCACATGTTACTGAAACCTCTGCAACAGCAACGTGCAGTTAATTAGCTTAGGAATTGCGATCTGTTGTAATCAGGGCTATGAACTGGGATCTGCTGGCAAGAAGCAGAACTGGATTTGAACCATGGATTTTCTTGATTCCAAACACAATATCCTAGCCCCACCCCCAGCTCCGCACCCTTTACCTATTGGGCTGAATCAATTATTTCCTTGCATCATACATATAAATATATGCATAAACATAGAAGAATAAGTTATATTCTTAAAGACTATAGATCCCCTAAATTATCATGTGATTTCCTTCTGAGGCAAAGATGTAGCTGGTTGTCAGTTTATTTACACCAGCTAATTTTCTATAATGGCTATTGTTAAGGTGAACCAGGAATTGTTCATTTAAATCTATGTTAATAATTCGTGCTGAGTTTATGTCGTGAATTCGGGACAGGGTTGGAAGTACCCTTGACCTTTTCAAGTTGCTCCAAATCCCACCAATCTCGGGTGCAGAGGGTAGCTGTAGACCCTCTTGTAGCTTGTAGAGGGGCAAGTCTCATGGTTGTTTACGTCATCGGAAGCCTCAGTTCTTCAGGGCGTGTTGTTTCGGAAGGTAGTAGCATCACGATGTTGCAACCCCTCCCAACATTACACATCTTTTCTACACACACCCCCCCCCCCCAGCTGCCTCCTCTGTGGGGGAAGAACGGTTGCGTGATGCTGGTTGAGGACCTACAGAGAAGCCCACCAGGCAAGCAAGCTCCAATGCTCCACCCACCCACCGGAGGTCCTCCAGAGGTCACAAGCAAATTCAAAGATCACAGGACTTCAGGGAAGAGAATGTCACCGAAGACAAGACAAGCTTTCGTCGGGCATGAGGTGTGGCAAGGCGTGCCAGTGGCTTCTCTGGGGGATTGATGCCAGTCATGCCACAGAAATCGAGGTATTTTACATGCCACCCGAGGGTACAGAGCAAACCTCCAGCAGCTGGCAACAGCTGTTGCAGAGACCTTTGGGGAGTAACTTGCTGGACTTTGGGAGGCAAGGGCAGAAGGGTGGCTGGGAGACAATGGCTAGGACTTTAAAGAACGCTACTCTAGGCTGCCTTGAAAAAAATCAGTCAAGAAGCCAAGAAGAGAGATGTGCCAAGACGCGGGATGTGGCGCGGCACTGTCAAAGGGAGTTAACAGCCCCTCTTGCTTAGACAAAGAAAATGCTGGGCACGTGTTCCTCACCCAGGCCTCCCCAGACCCATTTCAGTCCCAGGTCCCCTGAGCAGGTGGTAAATCAATCGTCAAGATCCAGGTAGGAAAGGTGGGAGGAAAGAAAACAAAACAAAGTCCCCATCACACATCCCCAAGGACTTCCCACAGGCCTCACCCCAGATGACTCTGCTCTCCTGCACCGTTTGGGAGGTGTCACCACCACCGCCCTTGGTGGTGGTGGTGGTGGTGGGGTGGTGGGATGCTGTCTGTCACTTAGAAATTCCCTTTGCACACCCAGAGGTGCCTGCCCCTGTCTCTCAAACCCCTGCAAAGGACAGCAGACAAGAGGGACGAAGACATCTACTCCAAGATGCATACTAGTCTATATGCCACCTGCCTTTACCTCTGTCTATTTGAGAAACCTAAAAAGGAGTGTTTTCCCCAGTCCATTGCGTGCCCCACTTCCTTCTGGCTACTCGTCTCCGCGATGACCCCTCCAGGCAGCGCCTCTCTTGTCTGTCTGTCATTTTCACCTGACAAAGCGCGGCGGCCCTTGAGCCCAGGGCATTTTTCCCAAAAGAGAGAGACGCGCGGGGCACCCACTCCTGGCCCCTGCAAATCCGCCCCACCCGTAATGGAACAAAGCAACAGAGGCAAGGCGAGACGCATCGCCCAGCACGGGCGACTCCACCAGCGTGCGGGGACCCACGCCCCGGTCCCCCTGCAAGGCGCCGCCCGCGCCTGCGGCCACCCGTGGACCAGTAGCGCCGCGCGTCCTACGCCTCCTCGCGCTCCCCGCGTCCCCAAGCAGCTACTGTACCTGCTAAATTTAGCGACCGCCGGGTATTAATAGCTCTAGCGACCCGGGGCTGGTGGCTCGCAGGGGCGCGCGGCCCTAAGGGGACCTGGGGACCCGGAGGGAAGGGAAGAAGGGACGCAAGAAAAGAGGCCACTTACACCACCAGCCTGGAGATGATCCACGACACCATGGCGGGCGGGCGGGCGGGCGCGGCCCGGGCTGCTGGGCTGCGGGCAGTGCTGCGCTCCCGACACGTCTGTCTGTCCGCGCACCGCCGCCGCCGCCAGACTGAGTGCGCCCGCCCGGCCCGGCCCCGCGCTCGCGCGTCGGCGCAGCCGCGGCACGTTCCGCCCGCTGCCCCAGCCCCCCGGGGCTCCGCGGGCCGCTGGCGATTGGGCGGCTAGCGGTGAGGGCACCCGCGCGACCCGCCCCTGCTCCGATCGTCCCAGCCCGAGGGCTGCAGCCAGGGCGGGTCCTCCTCCACCCGCTGTGGCGTGGAAACCTTGCCTTGCAGGGGCCCAGTGGGCTGGGCCTCGGAACCCCCGGAGAGGGCTGCCCCACCCTCAGTATTACGGTAGGGAAACTGAGGTCCGGTTCTGCACTTTGAAATCTTGCCTACACCTGTCTAGATGAGATTCTGCCATTCTTCACTTAGATCATGCCCTAGCCTCAGGAGAAACCTGACATCTTCAATTGGCACCCCATAAGTCATCATTACAGCATCTCAGCAAGCGTCTGCCTACTGACAGTTCTTGTGTCCCTACACGATCTGAACCCTATCTGCAACCGGATCACCATTCACCCACCATTTGTCCCTTTAGTTCTTTTTACTGCAGATACCTTGGTGTCTATAATTTACTTGTGTGTGTGTGTGTGTGTGTGTGTGCGCGCGCGCGCGCGCGCGCGCGCGTGTACGCATGCACCATCACACATGTGTGGGGGTCAAAGGACAACATGCAGGTGTCAGTTCTGTGTGGGTCCCAGGAATCAAACCTGGGTCATCAGACATGTCAGCAAGCCCCTTAACCGGGGGAGCTGTCTCATAGACCCGCACCTGGGACTTTTCTGTGTACGTACATATACTTCTATCTTGGTTTGATATATCTTCAAGCCTCAGCTGATGGGCTATGAGAGCTGACCATTGCATACGTCACAGCCCAGCAACATTTGCAGAGCCATGTGGCGTCGTAGGCAAAATGGAAACTCTGTTCGGTATAAACACTTTAATACATTTAAAAATGATTGCATCATATAGAATTTGTCTTGATAACTGAATTTTGTGGTGTCCCTTTAAATGTTGCAGCCCAGCTGAGTGACTTGCTTTGCTTACCCTGAGGAGCACTTGCACCAACTTCATTCAATATCACAGGAAAGCCTTTGTCCTTTATCCTTTGGCTCCGCTGCCCCTTCCTCCAATAGCTTAGGTCCCAGTCATCTGCTCTTTGCTGATACTCCGTTGTGTAAAATTCAGCGCCCAATCCGAGAAATTCCATGGCCACCTAGCTTGCAGCTTTCTCTAAAGGAACTCTGCCCAAGATGGCTTCCTGCAGAGGCCGGGTGACTTTGGACTTGAGCTGAAAGACACTGAAAATCTAGTGTTTTCAAATGTGGTGGAATGTGCATGGTGGCATGTACCTAATTCCAGTACTTGGGAGGTCGAAACAGGAGCCTGGGCTGATATCCTAAGACCAATCTCAACTCCCTCCCTCCAAAGCCCAGGCATGGTGGTTCACACTGTAACCTTAGAACTCAGGAGGTAGAGACAGAAAGATGAGTTCAGAGACATTCTTGGCTACTTAAGGAGTTCAAGACCAGCCTGGGTTACATGATGAGTCTCTCTCTCTCTCTCTCTCTCTCTCTCTCTCTCTCTCTCTCTCTCTCTCTCTCTCTCTCCACTCTCTCGTGTATGCACATACAGACAGAAAACGCTTTCTGACAATGAAGGTGCTGTAAGAGAGCTGTCTTTTGTGATGAGGAGTCTTAAAGAACCCATAAAACATTTACAATATCAGGGGTTTTAATGTAGTGTTGAAGCCTCTTTTGAGGCTGGTCGTTTCCCTATTGGGCAGCTGTGAACTTCACAGCCCCAAACCACTTCCCTTACAGAACCCTCACTCCGGGTCACTATACACCTAGATATGAGACAACCAGAGATGCGCCTGCACTCCAGAACCCCCTGAAATTATTCAAATTGGGGAATTGTGAACCTGCCTTGCCCTTCAGAAATATGTCTGCTATGGCTCCCTCCCTCTCACCTGTCCTGGGGCAATCCCAGCTGTTTTCTTTGAGTGGCCTACAGGACCTGTGCTCTCTCTAGGGATGGGAACAAATAGAATAAAACTGAATTCTTTCCCAGCTCTCTCTTCACTGTCTGGCCTCACCATAGTTTACTAGAGACAGTAAAAATGAAACAGGATACTTACCTGGCAGGGGAGATACCATGATCACGAAGGTGGTTTTCCCAGGGCGAGGCTTATCCATTGCACTCCGGATGTGCTGACCCCTGTGATTTCCCCAAATGCGGGAAACTCGACTGCATAATTTGTGGTAGTGGGGGACTGCATTCGCTCTCTCCCCTGAAAAAAAATAAAAATTTAAAAAAAAAAAAAAACAGGAAAAAGCTTGGAAAACTTAGCAGGCAGTGAAAACCCTAAGACCAAGCCAGGCGTGGTGACTCACGCCTGGAGACCCAGAACTTGGGAGGTTGATGAAGGGGGAGGAGTGTGAGGCCTACCTAGACTACACATGTGAGATTCTATGTCAAATAACAAAGCTCCAAAGGCAAACTTGGTATAGCAGTACACGCCTGTAATAATAACAACAACCATAAAATGAATACAAATTTCAAAACACAAGGGCTATGCAACGTTCAGTCATGAAGAACATGCCTTGCAAGCACAGGACTTGAGGTGGACCCCGGAACCCAGGTTACAAATAAAAAACTTGTAATTCAGAGACAGAAGCAAGAACATGAATCCCTGGGGCTTGCTGGTCAACCAGAGCCTAGACTACTTGGTGTGTTCTGGGCCAGTGAGAGGCCCTGTGCGCCAAAACAAAGTGGATGCTGCCTGAAGAATGATGCCTGAGGTTTAACTCTGGTACACACACACACACACACACACACACACACACACACACACACACACACACCGTACATATTCCAAAGCCACAGCAAGACAATACTAAGCAAGGAGGGTCTTCTCTGCCTTCCCCAGACTTCTCTTCATGTTTTTCCACCACACTCACTAGTGAGATCAGACGGCCTATCAGCCATCTCGAGGGGTGGAGGACACGGACTATTATGACTCATCAGGGCCTTGGTAGCGCAGGCCTATAGTCCCAGCTGTTGAAGAGGTTGAGAAAGGAGGCTTGCAAGGTCGAGGCCTGTCTGGGCTATAGAGAGAGTTCGAGGCCCACCGGGTGTACTTACTGAGACCCTTTCTCAAAAAGTAAAAATGACAACAACAACAAAAAAGGAGACCCTGTGAGAGCTCAGTAGCAGGTTTGCCTGTGATAGCTCAGTAGCAGGTTTGCCTGTGATAGCTCAGTAGCAGGTTTGCCTGTGATAGCTCAGTAGCAGGTTTGCCTTGTCTGTGCAAAGCCTGGAGTTCAATCCTCAGCACTGGGGGAAAAATTAAAATTTTCAAAAATAGTAGTTTGCAGGGGTCTCCTGGGTAGGGAAACAGCAGAGTGCTGCCCCTGTGCGGTCTCCTCCCTGGGCATGCCCAGTAGGTAAGCTTTACAGGTAAATGGGAAACTCAGGTTTGATTACTGTGCTCAACTGGACATTTTCATCACTGAAACAAAACACTTAGGTCTGGAAGAAAGGGCTAGAAAATGAGTGGGACCATCCCATTTTCTTCAACGGTCAGGAAGACTTGTTCCCTAGAGCAAGGCTGAGAGGTGGGCAGGAGGGGAGAGAAGCAGGGGCGGGAAGAAAGTTGTTTTTTTGTTGCATTCCATTTCCCTGAGCAAAAATGTTGCACATCCCGAATCTCTCCATCCTGGACGCCTCCAGTTTGTCCTTGGCCGTAGCCCTGAAAACCCCGAGACCGGGGAGGAGTTCCGCCTTCTAGACAATGTGTCTCTTGAGAGACAATGCAGCTCTTGAGGCGCTATCAGTTGGCTCACTCAGAATCCCTTTTCTCAAGACCAGAACGGCTGTGCAGTGGCTTCTGCTTCCGTTCCAAACCCTTCTTCTATCTTCTGACAGAGCCTGCTGCTCTCTACTCGAGAGTGATTCTCTCCCAGCCTAACCTTAGAAATTGCAATTTCTCTTGTGTGTTTATTACCTCGATGAGTTTGTGGGTGATCACCAGACATAAGCTGGGCCAAAAACTTCTCCCTAGTAGGTTTTTTTTTTTTTTTTTTTTTTGAAAACAGAGCGAAGAGACTTCTACATTTGCCTGTGAACTAAAGTTCCCAGACTAAAACGCCATGTGTGTGTTAAAGAATCTACAAGGCTGGCTGACTTAATAGAGCTTTGTGATTGTAGGAAGTTGGAATGTTCCAGATCCACAGATCAATTATCTAATATTATTTTCATGTATCTTAGTATCCATTCCTTGCTGTGATGGCCGTTCTTGGTTGTCAACTTGGTCACATCTGGAATTAACTAAAACCCAATTAACTAAAAACTAAATGACTGGGCACACTTGTAAGGGAATTTTTTTCTTAATTAAATCATCTGGAGGTGGGAAGATACATCTTTAATTTGGGACACATCTTTGGCTGGCAGCCTACATAAAGGACATGGAAGAAGGAAGCATTCTCTCTTTGCTTGCTTGGTCTCTCCTCGCTAGCAAGTCCATTCCTTCACTGGCATTAGAGCCTACTTTTTCGGGATTACAGCATATATTGAAGACCAGCTGAGACATCCAGCCATGTGGACTGAACAACTACTGGATTCTTGGGTCTTTTGTTGGTAGACAACCATTGTTGAATTTTCTAGATCATAGCCTATAAGCCATTCTAGTAAATTCCCTTTATATATATATTTATATATTCATTTTATGAGGGCTGGTCCTCCAGAGCACTGGTTCTCAACCTGTGGGTCAGGACCCCTCTGGGCAGTTGAATGACCCTTACACAGGGGTCAAATATCTGCATATCAGATATTTATATTACAATTCATAACAGTAGCAAGATTACAGTTATGAAGTAGCAATGAGAATAATTTTATGGTTGGGGGTCACCACAACATGAGGAACTATCTTAA